TCTAATGCCAGAAGAACCTTAAACACCACCACAGAAATTGAGTACCTTGACGATGTGATTTCCTTCGGGCTTTTGGTAAAGTTTTATTCTTTTCTTCTTCTGCAGCCATCCCAAATCTTCTAACATTTCACCACTAAAGGATGATTCCACTTGAATACCCTTGTCACAAATGCGGATTGGCTCAGTGAGTCCTCTTTGTTGTTTCTCTGTATCTTCACTTTCTGAATGAACACACATCAGGAACTGATTGCTTGACTCGGAACTCATCAGTGTAAAACTCTTTTCAGAAAAATTTTCAATTAAACTCTGACCAGCAAGAAGTTGAAGAGTAAATTCTCCTAGAAACGCTTTCCAAGAATCATCAACGTGATAGGGAGAAATGACAATATTCAGCTTTATAGACAAAGGGGAAGAAATGCCACCAGTCTCTTGTTTATCAATTGATTTTGAGATGCTCACTGCCTCTGAACACCTCTTCTTATCTCTGTGAGCCTCTTCTTCCTTTATACCGTCATCTAGGATGATGCAATGAGCAGAGGAGGAGTCCAAACCCGGGCAGGGGTGCTCATCATCAGTCAAGGTGAGAGGTTCATTCCTTCTGTCCTCATGCATATTCCAGCAAAGCTGCTGTTGCTTTTCCTCATCTATCTTCACTGGAGGAGCACGTTTCCGTCGGCTGCTCATTTTCAAGTTTTCTTGTTAATGTGAACTCTAGAAGACAAACACAACAGTAGGCATTCCAAGAGATGATTTTAGTATTAAAGTATTCTCAGATGAGAAGTTCAGCATATGGTAATAATCCTACGGATAACATAAAAGGTACAGAGAGATACATAAAGCAACATATAATTTTTTTTAATAAGTCAAATACACCTATGGAACACATTGACTATAATCTCATGTATCATATAAATTCCAATGGTCTTCTTGGTCTTTTATAGATAAATTTAATATAGATAATTTGTTGTTTAAAATAAATTCTAAAAATATTCTTAATGAACAGTAAGATAGTAAGGTAAATCTCTCAAACAGCCTGGAAATGCTTATTTGAAAAGTTTCAGTAACATTTAAATTCATATAAAAAAAAACCCCACAAAAAAAATTTAAACTCATATCACCACTACATAATTTCAATTGTTTTATAATCTTAAAGGTTTAAGAACTTTACAAAACAATCAACACCATCACATCCTCAGGGAGATATATCGTTTTCATGAAATAGAAGCAGGAAGTCATAGAGAATTCACTTGTAGACCCACAGTACACGAAATGTTAAAGAAGTCCTCACACAGAAGGAAAATAATATTAGATGGAAATTTGAAGCCACAGAAAGGAATAGAAAGCATTATGAATGAGAAAAGTATGGTAATAGACTTTTTCTCATTTTTACATTTTTAAAAAAGATAACTGCTTTTTAAAAAATTTTACTCTTTTTATTCTGAAAATTGGCAAGTCTACATAAAAAGAGAGCAAAGAGCAGAGTAGTATAATCATAGAGATATACATACTGTGTACTGTGTTTGTGGGCTGGAAGACTCAAGATGCCAAAATGTCAATTCCTTGATATTGATCTACAGAGTCAAAGTAATCCCATTTAAAATCCCAACAGGCTGTTTTTGTAGAAACTGACAAGATGATTCCCAAGATCTAGAAGAGTCAAAATAATTTTGAAAAAGAAGAATAAAGTTGGGAGAATTAACACTGACCCCAGGACTTAGATGAACAGTAATCAAAATTGTGGCAATGATATATATAAAGACATATGGTCCAATGGAAGAAAATAAAGTGCCCTGTAATAGCCCCCATATATGCACGGTTAACTGATTTTTGAAGGAATTCAAAGGTAATCAATGAAGAAAGACTATCCTCTCAAAAAAATAGATATCTATATGCAAAAAAAAATGAACCTTAATTTTTACCTCCCATCACATACAAAAACTAACTCGATATGGATCATGAACTGAAATATAAGCTAAAACTATAAAAACTTCAGGAAGGAAAGAGGAGAAAATCTAAGTGACACTGCACTAGGCAAAAAAAAATTTAAATAGGACACAAAAAAACAGAGGCTATAAGAAAATGATAAATTAGGCTTTAGTGAAATTAAATAATTTGGCTCTTCAAAACATTGTTATGGAAATGAAAGGGGAAGCTGCAGATGGGAGAGAATATTAGTAAAACAAATATCTGATGAAAGACTTCTATGTGGAATATATAAATAACTCTTGCAAACCAATAGTAAGACAATCTTATTAAAAAATGGACAAAAATTCTGAAGTCATTTCATCAAAGATGATCTGTAACGGGCAAACAAGCACACGAAAATATCTTCACCATCATGTCATTAACACACTGCAAATTCAATCCATAAATCACAATGAGAAACTATATATCCACTAGAATGGTGAAAATTTAAAAGACTGAGGATGCAGAACAACTGAATCTGAACTCTTAAACATTCCAACAGGAAATGTCTGTCAATTTCTTATAAAATTAAATATACACTTTCCGCACAGCCTAGTAATTCCACTCATAGGTATTTACCATAGGTATTTAAGATAAATTAAAAAAAAAACAGAATGGTAAAAAAGACTTAAACTTGAATTTGTTAATAGTAGTTTTATTAACAGAAGCCTAAAACTGGAAACAACCCAAATGTCCATCACCTGATGAATGGATAAACAAATGGAACTCCATGACAAACTACTGGTACACACAACAACATGGATGGATTTTTAACACATTATACTAAGTGAAGGAAGCCAGATGTGAAAGACTACATGCTGCATGATTCCATTTGTGTGAAATTCTAGAAAAGGTAAAATTCTAGTGATAGAAAGCAGATTAGTGGTTACCAGGGGCCAGGAAGTGGTAAGAGGTGACTGACAGCAAAGAAGCAGGAGGGAAAGTTTTGGGGTGAAAAAAGTGTTCTACTGGTGATCATACGATTGTACATATTTGACAAAACCCATCAAACAGTATATGTAAAATTGTTGAATTTCATTATACAAAATTATACCTTAATAAAACTAATTTAAGAAGCAAAAAAAAAAGCTGATGCAGGAGGGATTTAAAAATTGCAAAAGAATATTATGAATAGCTTTATTCTAATAAACTTGAAAATCTAGATATAATATGTAATTTACTAACAAAATGTAGGTGAATAAAATTGGCCCAATAAATAGAAAATCTGAATAGAACAATAACCATAAAAGAAACTGAAGTAACATTACTTATCTACCTAAAATCTACCTCATTTCCTTGTTGACAGAACATTTCTTACTTAGGAACTTGGTGGACTTGTTACTTAAAAGGAGAATGGTTTCCTCTGTAGCCCCAAGGGAGTTGTGCAGTACAGTAAGGTTGCCACAAGTTGCATGTGGCTATTTAAGTTAAAAAAATTTTTAAACTTAGCTCTTCATTCTCTCTAACTGTGACACTCAAGCACTCAAAAGCCATATATAAATAGTGGCTACTGTACTGGACAGTATAAATATAGAACATGCTCATAATTCCAAAATGTCTATCAAACAGTGCTGGTTTAAGTCAATCATGGGAACATGAGAATTCCATTCCCTTAACCAGTTCTGGTTTATGAATTTACAGGTGGTGGTCTATAATCAACCTCTGACGATAGTTAACTACTTTCCAAGCATCTTATCTCCTCTATTATTTTGGATAAGAGATCAGAATAATATAGGAAGTCCCTAATAACCTAAGTGTTTATCTCTGCCGAGCTCTTCTCCAAGCACAGCCTGGAATATTGGAATTGGGTCACTTTACTGAAATTAGGCTACACCAGTTTATCAGTTAGCTATTGCCATAAACATGCTGTATAATAAAGTACCCGAACTAAATGCCTTGAGATACAGGTTAGCTGAGGGTTGGCTGATCTAGGCTAGGTTTCTGGAGAAGCAGTTTGGTTCTGCTTAACGTGGTTCTCATCCTTCTCCTGGAACCAGCAAAATAACCCAGGAATGTTCACCAGTAACTGAGGTGGAAGAGTGTAAATCCAATCATATAACTACTTTTTGAAATATTTGGTCATAGCAAAACCACAAGGGTTCTGTGGGCCAAAGCAAGTCACATGGATGAACTCAAAGCCAAGAAATGGGTACATATACTACACTTCTTTAGGGGTGAAACTGCTCATGGCAAAGAGTGTGGATATGAGGTAGGGCATTGGGTCAGTTACACAATCTGTGACGCCAGCCACAGTAATATTAATAAAATGGAAGTTATGGAATCATTAACTCTAAAAGCCCAAAAAGCGACTGACTATAGAGTCTCACATCTGCAAAGCAATGTGGCTTACAGGAGAGAATGTGGGCTTTGAACTTCTAGATTCTAATTCTAGCTTTGGCATTTACTGTGTGGTGCCGGGCTAACTACCTAGCCTCTCTGTGTAAGTACAGGAGCACAGCAACAGAAACTTAGCATATATTCAGTAAGTGGTAGTTGCTATTATCATCACCCTGAGAACACTATGAATAATAACCAAACGTTAAAGTGGCAGGCTGGGGGACTAGAGAGCAATGTGTTTCAAACCTGACTGTGCTTTAGAATCACCTGGGGGAACTTTTTAAAAATCATGATGCCCTGGTAGCTACCCCAGCCAATTAAACGATAATCTCTGGGGCAGGGCCCAGGCCACTACCTCTGTTATTTTTCAGGCTCCCTAGCTGATTTCAGTGTGTGGTCAAGTCTGAGAAACCTGTGGATAGTCAGCTGCCTAATAAAATCCAGTTCTTTCCTTCCAAAGTATAGAATAGATGGGAAATGTCTCCTCAGCTGGTGCTGCATCTGTAATAGTCCCATAATCAGTTCTAGCCAATCAATTGTGAACAGAGGTTAATATATGCCCTTTCCCTTACAATTTGTAAAAGAGATATTACTGAACCAGAATACGTTCCTTCAATGCTTTATTTTCTCTGATAAGACTCATTCAGTATCTTTTAAATTATATATACCACTACAATTTGCACATTCTTTCAGATGTTTGCTTCCAACTTGATTCTTCTAATATTATAGCCTCAAAGTATTTACCAGTTACGATAAGTTGAAGAAAAATAAATACCAGGATTTCTAGCAAGGCTCTCCTTTTGTTCAGTTCTCTACCGAGCAAACATTCACGATCTACCTCTCGCCCCACCTCAGTTACCCAGGCCCCATCATCCTGTTTTGGGTGACTCTTTCTCTAAGAGATCTCTATCTAGGGATAACTCTTGAACCAAAGAAGATATTAATTGATCAAAGCTACTTAAAACCATAATGTTAGCTGGCAGCTAATGAGTCAAGTACTGGTAAAATTCCATATATCTCTAATCATATTCCAATTCTAAATCCTTCTCCTTGTTTTCCTCATACCACATGAATCCCACCTATTATGGTCCTGCTTCTTTTTCCTCCCCCTTTAAATATCAGTGTTTAGGTATAACATGATTATATGCAGTTTCCTCTGTGGACCACACTTTTACTGTTCCACATTTAAATGTAAATAGCCTGTTGCCTGAAAAGCCCTTTCACATTTTTCTGCCTATCACTGTCCTAATATTCCCTCAAAACCTTTTATGAACAGGTATGCTGAGTTAAGGGCCTCTCCTCCTTGATCCCAACTGATAAAATGTTCTGACCTGTTTGACTCTGAGCTACTTGAACATTGGGCAGGAACAGTATCTTATTCAGCATTGAAATCCCAAGGCCACGTCAGTGCCAGGATGTAAATGATACGCAAAATAATGTGAAACAAAGATCTCTAACTCCCTGAATATCCTTTCTCTTTTAAAGGACCAGTACAGTACTTTGCTCAAATTTCCTTTTGGACAAGTCTCTCTTAACCACATTCTAAAAGACTATAGGCAGTGTAAAACTACTACTTAATATTTCTGGCCCTGAATGAGTCTGAGAAAACTGACCGACCGGTTTCTTTAACAGAAAACAGAGATAGACTGCTAGAAAAATAAATATAAAATGTTAAGTTACTATGACAGTACAAAAAATTCACTAAAATTAGTTCAGATTTTTTTCCCCTCCAAATTATTATCTCTTCATTTAAAAGATATAGAAAAATCCTCAATTACAACAAATCCACGGAAGCCCTGGGTCTAGGCTATCCAGGGCAACAAGAAGTATACATTTGAGATATTGCTGTCCAAGGCAAGTCTTAAGCAAGTGAAGCCCAATAATTACTGATGACTGAAAAGTTCTGTGACCTAGCATTACCACAATCTTCTGCCAAACTGGTAACTCCAGCAGGCTGAGAGCATTTTCACCTGTTGAACTTTAAAATATTTGTTAGTTGCATATTCTTAGAAAACGCCCTCATAAGATTTCTCAGCAGCAGATTCTCTTTTCCCCAAATCTTTCTAGCCTGAACTCTAAGTAAAAAATTTGTTTTAGTAACTCTGCAAGAACAGTTCTTTAGCCTGGGCAAGAAGAGAATATATATAAATGGCATCTGCCAAAGGTAAACTATTTTATTCTCAACTGCCACCTTATTGGCTAAGTGGATCTTGTAAACTCTAGGAAGTGCCAGGTTATGCAATTATAGGAACTGCTCTGCTCACTACTAACCTGCTTCCAGTATGATTACTGATCATAAAGCAACTGGTCTTTTTGGTGGCAGTACAGATGTTATGGATCATTTCGATTCACGGGAGTTTCATCATTCTTGCTATTATACAACTGAATAATTTAAAATAGCTGTAACAACTTAAAATTATTTTTTGTTCAGTTACAGCCTCAATTTAAAGAAGGAAAATATCAAACATCTAGGATTTCTACCTCATGGCCACTATCAAGTCATTTAGAAAAACGGCACAAGCTTAATGGTCATTATTTAATAATACTGTTTATCTGACAGCGACCGTGAATCATCAGAAAACATATCTTGGTTCAGAAAACTAGCAACTACCACCGAGCCAACATGCACAACGTGCAAGGGTGGTTTTGAATGCGAATGTATTTAGTCTGACTCCAAAGATAACTGAGAACTTTCAGACTAACTTAGAAGCCTCGGTCTCCCCTTTCACTATATCACAACCCCACACACCAAAAAGCTAGGTAGCTGCCCAGTTCCAGCCTCGAGGGGTATATCGGCGGCGAATGGTGATATCCACTCGGTTTTCTGCCGAAAGACTCAAAAGCGGTTCGAGGAGTCAGAACAGGGCTGTCAGCACCGATCGCTCGACGCAGGCCGGACAAACAAGCCACCGCGAGGCGGAGGAGCGCGACTACCGAGGTAGCCCCTCGGCCTCGAAAAAAACACCGCAGGCCCGAGCCCCCCGCGAGAAGCACAGCCACCTTTTCCACGGCCCCACTTCGTCCCAGGGGAGCCGCGGCGGTCCAGAGGCCCGCAGGTCTGGGATGGGGAAGGGTCGAAGAAACTCGCGCTGCTGCTCCCTCTCAGCCCTGTAGTTTCCCGGGCTCCAGAGCAACCGAGTCCACCCTCCCTGGGATCTCCGTCTCCGTCCAGAGACGTCTTCTGTCCCTGACCTCTGACCCCTGACCCTCCATCCCCCAAGCGCCTACCTAGACTCGTTCTCCAAACCCCTAGAGCCTCTTTGCACCAAGGCCCGGCGTCCTCTAATGTCCCCGCAGGTCCCGGGCACGCACTCGCCACCCACCGAACATCCGCCTGAGGTGGGCACGCGCGGTCTGTGCTGGTTTGTGCTGAGGTTCCCGGGGGGCCCAGAAACCACAGCTCCGGGGTGCCGGGCGCGCGCTGGAACGTGGGGTCAAGGTGAACGCGCACGTCGGGGAGCCCGCCCCCTTTCTCCCGCAATGGCTTCAGGAGTAGCTTCTGCGCAAGTCCACAAGGTTAGAGACCGAGGATGGATACGGTTGGAGTATCGCGAGAGCTCTACGTCAAGCCACTAGAGAACACGGGATTGGCTGAAACTTCTAAGGGGGAGGCGGGACTCTAAGCGGATTTAGAAGAGAGCGGGGTTTCTGGTTTGAAGCGCGTGAGGGTCTCGGCTGAAGAGAATGAGCTTCGCTTGAAGCGAGTGATAGTTTTAAAATTTGTGCCTTTAGTTAAAAAGCCAGAAGAGAATTCTGCCAACATACCTTTTTAATTGCTTGCTGAAAGCAGCCTCTAATTAGTTACGGAAGAAGCTTGTCTCCCTCAAAAAAAGTTATTTTACAAGACTTGCCAGGGAACTGTGAGTGAATATTAAAAGATGAGGGGACAAGTACATGTATTTGTGCTGAAGCTGGCTTTCCAATATCCTAATTAATTTTTTTCCCTACTCTTCACTGAGTGGTAGCCTGTTTCTCTTGGAGGTAGGCTTACACCTAAATACCTGGAATACTGAGGCTTCAGGGACAAAAGCCTGAAAAATAGCCTCCGGAAAACATCCGGCACTCAGTGATTGAGTTCCTAGTAACAACTCAGCATTGTGCTGTGGAGGGGCGTCTTGGCCTGTGTGACCACAGAAGCACCAAAGTAAGTTGTTACCTAGGGGAACGTCCGTTGTTTGAGAGTCCAACGTGGTCCATATTCTTAGTACAGAACTTCGTGACTTACCACTAAAGTAGCCTAAAAGAAGCTCTGCGCGTAATCTAAAACACCTGGAATTCAGTGGAAATCAGTTACCCTTATCATGAGGCAAGTTGGAAAAAGTAGTGCTAACGCTGGAGCAGTGGGCGTGCAGACGACTTCTCCATTGGCGAACCAGTCATTTTACTAAGTACAAGACGTAATGGAAACTGTCTTTTGGAAATGTTACTTGAAATTGTGTTTAAACGTAAATTGTGCTGTAAAACGTGATCTTTGATAGTTGTGTCATTTCTCACCGTTGGAGCAGAAAATTAAACTTATAATTTGACTGACTCCAGCTGGTGCCAGGCGGAAATATTTTAAAATAAGCACATCATTATTTCATCTTTGTTCATTTTGATTAGTGTAATTAATCTCTATAGACATAATTATTGTTATCTGTACAAAACATTAAACTACAGCTCCAGTTGTGTGTCTGGAGATGTAATTTCAACTACAGAGGTGGAATTCTATACAGTTATCATGTGCTTACAATTAAACCAGATTTTTTGCCTTGAATTTTCCAATGGTAAATTCAATCCTGTATTTGCAAAGTGCCCCATATAGTCTTTGAAAAGTTCTATGGAGTAATATTTTTCAATATTAGAGTCACCAGAGCTAATTTCAGACAGTAAGTCTCATTTTTGCACCTTATCTTTCTGGAAGCTCCCAGCTGTGAACAGCTGTTCACCCCTGGCAACACTCTGTGCATCTACCCATTAGATGCCAGTGATCTAATACCATTCCACAAGTGGGAATCAATTGATTGGACATAAACCAGTCAGGGAACCACTCAGTGTTAATAAAGTTCAACAGCTTGAAAGTATAAATGTGACCACAGTCAGACCACTTGCTTCCTTGTGTAGTCTCACTAGGCGGAAGCTGTAGACCCAGTTCCTTTTGCGGACAATAGCTTTATTCTAGGCATACCCCAACTTAGATCATCTATTTTAGAAATGAATGTTATAAGTTGTTCTCAAGGAGAACTGGTTGAGAGGGAGTAAATGAGTAGATGCAAATTTAGCTCCCTTTTGGGGCAGAAACAGCAAACAAATAAATTATGAGTAGAACTTTATATTTTGCAAAGCCCTTTCATGTTCATTTCTCCACTTGATTCTTAGAGTGATAATGTGAGATGCTTAAATTTTTCATTTTATAGAAGAGAAATCTGAGACTCAGAGAAATTTGGTGATTTGCCACAGTTTACCTAAGAGAACAAGAGGATCTAGAACTCTTCTTGACTCCTCTGTCTAGGCTTTTGCCTCTTATTACTAAGTTATGTTGTCTATAAAATAAAAATAACATATTTTCAACAAACTTCCTAGGTTGGCAGGGGGAAAATGAAGGTGCTGGTAGGGGTGATCAGCTGTGCTGAAGTGAGTGTGTATTAGATCAAACAAACAAGAAACAGCTTCACAGGGACTGGGCATGCTTTGGTGTAGCATGACCATTATATGGTGGTGGGGGCAGGAGGTGTGTGACTTGAACACAAATCTTCATTTTTACAACATCACAGTTTTTGCTCAGGCTAGCCATGGATAGGCTTAACTGTTAACTTTCAGTTTAACTTTTCCTTGGTGATTTGCAGGTTGAATTTATTTCAAAGTCCAGAGCTTGTTCTGTCTCCCCTGCTGCCAGCTAATCTGCAAACTGAGAGAACTCTGCCTGCCATGATTTGTAAAGCAAAATTTGTAATCTGTACACAAAATGCTGCATCAGACATGAATTTATGACATAAGGAGAAGGGAATTCACCATTACTTTGTAAGTACTTGTTTTGGGTGTTAATAAAGCAATGCTTGTAAATTAGGTAAATGCAAGGAGAAAGTTGAGGCTGAGTCTGTTGATTAAGGAAAGATGTAAGATTATATTCAGCATTTATCAATGAAGATAACATAATCTGTATCCTTGGTACCCTTCTCAGTCCCTCCTCACCTCCATTCCCAGTTGTTACTTTTTCTAGTGGCATATTTTTTTTTTCCAAGCAATTTTGTCAATATGGCCTCTGAGCACTAAGGAATAAGAATATTGTAGATGAGTCTCTTGATGCTTATGATTTAAGTAATATTTATTGTGCAATTTTGAGAAAAATACAAGTGAAATATTTTTTGAATATTTCAAAGGTCACTATCATGTATCATTTTAAAGTACAAAAGTAGTGATGTAGCACTTTCAGAACGAATCTAAAATCTCAAGGAAGCTTAGTCATAGTAGTGTTAGCATGAAATGATGTTTGCCAGAGGATAAAAGAACCTTTCAAAGCTTCAGTCCCCTAGAAGGGCAACATCATGCTCATACTGTAGCATTGCTGTATTGTTTAGGTCAATTTTGGGGACAATGGCAAAACTAGATATGAGTTTCACTCCCTTTAAAGCCTGTTAAATTCCTGAATTCTTCTTTGGCCCTTAAATAAACTCAAACATCTTCAGTATCACACAATAGTATATATAATGATCAGTTATGTCCGTAACCCACACCCTGGACTATTAGCTTTGCAGAGTTAATTATTTTTTTTAATTGAAGTATCATCAATTATAATGTGTCAGTTTCTGGTGTACAGCACAATGTCCCAGTCATGCATATACATACATATATTTATTTTCATATTCTTTTTCATTAAAGGTGTTACAAGATATTGAACATAGTTCCCTGTGCTATACAGAAGAAACTTAAAAAACTATATCTATATCTGTATCTATATCTATATCTATATCTATATCTATATCTATATAGGTGCTAACATTTGTGCTTGAGAACTAATTTTTAAAAAATGAACAAAATCCATTCAACCATCCCAGATAACTCTAGTGAAACCAATTTGAAGACAGATATTTGGAATTTAATTGAGCAAACGATCTCCAGCTTATGAACTAATTGATTTCTGGATGGTTAAAAAGTGAGCTCATGTAAATCAAATCCTTATTTCCTATAGCCATAATGTTATAAACTGGGACACCAATCCTGGAAATCCATTTTGTACTTTAAAAATACCAATATTACCTTCACAAGAATTAACTTAAAATGGATCACAGATCTAAATGTAAAATGCAAAACTGTATAACACCTAGAAGGTAACATAGGAGAAAACCTAACGGCCTTGGGTATGATGATGATGTACTTTTAGATACTATTCCAAAGGCATGATCCATGAAAGAAATAATTGATAAGCTGAACTTCATTAAAATTAAAATAATCTTCTCTGCAAAAGACAGTATTAAGAGAATTAGAAGACAAGACACAGGCTGGGAGAAAATATTTGCAAAAGACACAGCTGAAAAAGACTACAATAATTAGTTAAAAGATACACAAGATAAAAATATGTACGGTGTGACATCAAAAACATAAAGCCAGATGAGGGAGAGAGCAAAAATGTAGAGCTTTAGAATGTGATCTACTTTAAGTTCTTATCAACTTAACATAGACTGTTATAGATGTAAGTTGTTATATGTAAACCTCATGATAACCACAAAGCAAAAACCTATAGTAGATACATAAAAAATAAAGAGGAAGGAATCTAAACATACCACTAAAGAAAGTCATCAAATTACAAAGGAAGAGAGCAAGAAAAGAAGAAAGCAACAGAGGGGAACTACAAAACAGTCAGAAAACAATTCACAAAGTGGCAATAAATAAATACCTATAAGTAATTAAATATAAATGGGCTACATTCCTCAGTCAAAAGACATAGAGTGGCTTAATGGGTAAAAAACAAGACCCATCTGTTTGCTGCCTACTGGAGACTCACTTCAGATATAAGGAAACAGACTGAAAATGAAGGAATAGAAAACAGTATTTTATGCAAGTGGAAACCAAAAGAAAACTGGGGTAGCTATATTTTTATTAGACAAAACAGACTTTAAACCAAGACTATAAAAAAAGACAAGGGCACTACATAATAATAAAGGGATCAATCTAAAAGGGGATTTAACTTTTGACAATATTTGTGCACTCAACATAGGAACATCTGAATATATAAAGCATATATTAACAGATGTAAAGGGAGAAATAGACAGCAATGTAATAATAGTAGAAATTGACAGCAATACAATAATTTACATCAAAGGATAGGTCATCCAGTCAGAATATCATTAAGGAAATATCAGCCTTAAATGACACATTACTTCAAATGAACTTAACATATATACAGAGAACACTCCATTGAAAAGCAACAGAATACACATTGTTCTAAAATGCACATGAAA